AGAAGAAGCAAGCAATCGACCTAACGAATTTGTGTGAATAAATGGCAAAACAGTGACAGCGAAATGGTAAGTTTAGAAGTTACTTAGAGCAACAAAAAACAGAAATTTGTTGAGAGTCACGATCGTTCACGTCCTGAAAGGACTTGGTGCATAAAAGAAGACTATTGCATTGAAGTTGTCCATCAACATGGCGTCGTTTATTTACTTTTCATCAATGTAACGCTACTGATGTCAACATAAAACTCTTCAATTTTCACATGTGAACATTTCAAATTTGATGCCTATATTTGGATTATTTTTAGGACGAATCTTTAGCCTCATCCTATTTATATCCAAACTATTCTGTCCAAAAATATCGAAACTTTATACGTTGCCTGCAATCTCATTATTGACTAAAAGCCCTGTCACTAAACGTTTATAACAGGTTTCATCAGTTTGTAACGGCGTTGACTCATTTGTTGAAGAGGGATATTTTCTTGTGTTAGAAGGAGATTTCGATATGCATGTATTATTATATTGTGCATATTAAGATTTATTTTGTATTTATCAACACTTCGTGCATTATCTTTTAATCTGCACACAAGACCAATATACACCCGAATCAATTATACCAATATATGGTGGGAACAGATGATGTCATAATATAATCTTCCACATATTCTCCATGATTCATTCATCATTTGACTCAGTTAGCAACACTAGGTTTTATGAGATTACTATTGCCTACGATTCTTAGAATTACGTAATTTCTTGGAGTATTTGCGAGCAAGTAAATCTGGAAAGACAGGCCAAAATCGTGGCTGGGTCTGTATGCATACTTCGCGAAGGGGGAAAAAAGAGACGAAAATTGTTACAAATAGTTGCAAAGAAAGCACAAAAGTATTGTGCACGGAATGCTTCATGGACTATCATATGATTAAATATATTAAATCTACGAACGAACCTGACTTTTGTTTCATTTCTGTAGAGTAATTGGTCCTGGTTAAATGTAAGTGGCAGAGATGCCCCAAAAAACAAAATTGACGAAGATTCCAAGAAATAAGGAGAAAACAAAGAAAAGAACAAACCCAAAATAATATGAAGCAAACAAATTATATATATATATATATATATATATATATATATATATATATATAATTTACTCTATTTATCTCGATTTAGCTCTGTTGAGCGAGGTACGAAACCGGTTAGCTAACCGTTTTTCATTTTACTTTTATTATCATGAGTGGTAATAATAAAACTAAGTTTGGTCTATTCATGACAGTGATACATATATATATATATATATATATATATATATATATATATATATATATATATATATATATATATAGACATTTTTATATGTTTATAATAAAACTATTTTTGTCTTTTTCATGGCTGTGATAAAATTTTGTACCACCAAACATATCTTTAAATATATATATATATATATATATATATATATATATATATATATATATATATATATATATATATGTATGTAGTTTTATATATATGTTGTTTACATATATATATATGTGTCTGTTGTTCTTGCATTTTCGGATACAACAATACATATATTTTCGTTGTCCTCTTATTACTAAGAGAAAAAACAAGAACAACATCTATTCCATACCTGAAGATGTCTGTAGGAACAGACGAAAGCTTGTAATAAAAATAAGAACTAATACGGCAGAAATTTATAGAAACAAGGATCTTTTCATTCATAACGGATTCGGAGGTTTTTGTATATTATTTGAATTGTTTGCGATGATGGATTTCTCGCCAATTAAATCATTAACCTTGCATTTGTTTTTTTGTGTGAATAATTCATGAATATATATATATATATATATATATATATATATATATATATATATATATATATATATATAAGATATATGTAGGCAAATCGACAGTAATAAGGCAAAATGTTCAAAGTAATAATGAGATTAACACACGAAACGGCTACAGACAAGTGATTATAGCGGTTTGACTTCAAGATAAGTAAGAAATAAAATAAGGCGGATGAGATCGAGAAGTGGTCCGTTTTTATTGGCTAGGAAGAAATCCCAGCATGCATCTTTATGATTTGTCTATAAGCTGAGGGAGTGGTGGAATTTTTTTAGCCATCATTTCTTCTGTGGATTGAAACCAACAATTTCCACTTTATTTACATTATTCATATTGTTCGAACTGTTGTCCTCATCGTTATTGCCATATTCACGACGTTTCGGCTTTTGTACGCTCCAACATAATTCATGTGGTTTGAATTTCGAACTGAACGCTTTATTTTGCACACCTGGGTAGATTCTTCTAGTTCCACGTGCCATGCCTCTTGCAGATGTTCCAGTTATCTCCCTTTAACTCAAGTCTCGAAGTTTTTGTTCACCACTGCAGTAGCCAGGTATTGAACTCGCAATTCTGGCTCAAGTTGCTTGATCCAACGAACGTTTTCATCCATTGGCCCATGTATCCTTGACGAGTAAACAACGGCCATTTACTCGCAGATATATTCGACTTCTATATTATCCATATTTTACCGAATTTAATTTAATGAATTTAGCTACTCAGTTTAAGCTTTTAAAACATATAGAATACATGAAATTATTATACGATACTATTAATGATATTATTTTATTAACATAAATATCAAGACATTATTATAATTAATTTTGCATAGTAGTCGACAGTATCAATTAATACTTAATTTAGGCTCCTTTGTTATAGAATATGTAGGCTGACCCAAAGTGGTAAACTGCTGGTCAGAACTCTGTCAAATTGAACTGAGTGGAGGTGATTTGAACTAATTGGACTTGGAATTCTGACAGTGAATTATTGTCTTTGTTTATGTTTTGATATAAGATCAAATGAACGCGAAGTCAGTACGTTCTGCGAGAAGTAGAAATACCAAGATGTCTCCCTGCATTCAGGTTCCTTAGTGAAATACCATCACGCGATAATACAGTTTTGTCAAACGGGTTTCCATTCGTCCTCTCTATTTCCCGCACCTTCGTACTTCCTCCTAGAAACGACATTCAGGCTACTTCCCCTGGTGAAATAAAGTGGGTAAAAAAAAAAAATAACTCCGGTCGTTGCTTCTGTCTGTGCTGTAGCGTTGCAGGGATCTGAAGAAGTAAATCCAGGGACGTAGGTAACCGCAAACCGAATACTGACAAATGTCTCCTGCATTTTCAATTACTCTATGCTGTTCAAAATTGTTCAGTCTCGTTGGCTTTCTTTCATGAAATGTAATTATCAAACCATACTTCTTGACAAATTAAATTCGTCTTCTTCCCAAATTATAAGGTTATGCTAACCCCTTGCGTCTTCATGAATTTATTGACGTGCTTGATGTGAAAGAACTAACAAAAAGCTTTACGTGAGGTGACTGAAAAGGCCATCCCCCTATCCTTTTTCCAAATATTTTCATGACAATTGTTCTAATGAGTTTTCCTCCTTTGTATCTCAACTGCCTGGCTTTAAACGTACTACTAGATTGGCAAATAGGTCTCATTATTTTTTTTCGATTGAAATACCTACATGCGACCGTAAGTTCTATTCTAATAGTTTCTTCTTCTCACAGTTCCCACCTGTGGAACTCCATTCCGATTTCTTTCTTCCCTGATAACTACAATCTTCAAAATTTTAAATTCAACGTCAATCGCCGTCTTCTGTCTTCTTGAATCCTGTTCTTTTATACTTGCTTTTTTTAATGTTCTTATTACATTTCTTACAGAGGGATAGATAGTTTCACCTATCGCCCGGTTCAGACTCCTTCACCGTCTTTTGAACACGAGTAGAGAATTGTTTAGGATTGAGTTTCAGGTTCCTTCTCCTAAAGCCTTCTCATTCTCTTTCACTCTCAGTAACCCGTGGCGTCTTAGTGGCATTATCGCCTTGCCTGGTTTGAAAGATTTTATAGAAGACCGACTACGCCATCCAAGAAAGAAGACCTGATATGATAATCGCGAACACAGAAAGGAGGGTGGATAAGATAACGGTTATCTTCGTGGAAAATGTAATCAGCGTGTAGAGTTCATTTCTCGTTCGGTTCTATATTGCTTACTTCACACTAATGTCTTTGGAAAAATCATGAATTTCTCCTGCTATGGGTTAAATAGCAATGCAGAGAGAGTTATGTTGCCTTAAAGTGTCAAAAGGTGTAGGAGAAAGAAAACTATGTATTCTAAACCAAACTGAAGAGGGATGGGCTTCGTCAGATTATTTTGCCTTAGTAAGACTACAATTGCGAAATCTAAATAATAATAATGATATGCCCCCAAAGAGATTATGATGAATATAATAACAATAGTTGTGCCTACTGCATTAAGTTGTCACACGAAAAGTAACTGTTGAACTCTGTTAACGACTGGTACGACTGTCACCTTCAATGTTCCATCACTTTTTTCTCTGATTTGGTAAAATTTTGCTCTCTTTATTATCATCAGTATTAATATTATTATTAATAGTAGTAATATCGGCTGTGGTAGTAGTATTAGTAGTAGTAGTAGTAATAGTAGTAGTAACGGGAGCATATAACAAGTTTTCTATGGATGAATTATAACAAATTTCGTATAGGAGAACAAGAAAATGAACAAAAATATTAAACGTTGCGCTATTGTTAGTTTCGAAGAGAACATATTGACTTAATCAAGATGTCAACTTTCCACACTATTTCAAACAAAAGTTTAGGAAGGAAATCCCCATTAATAATGTAAAGTGCGATAAGTGATAGTGAACTTGAAAGGCTATTTTCCAGAAAAAATTGTATTCAGAGAAAGTTTTTCATAAATTTCAACTGAAAACAGCACTGGCTGCTCGGTCAATGAATGCCGAATGTTTCCTTATTAGTAAACGTTTATTATTGCTTTTATCATCACCATATTGGTATTTGTACTTGTATTATCGCTTAGAGCTTAGTTAATAAGTTACAATTAGTAGTAGGTCTTCGATAAATATTAAAAAATATTTAAGCGACACCTCATCGGTAACTGTTGTACAATTTGAATCTTAAC